TATGAGACAGGGTCTTGCTATGTAGCTCAATCTGGCTTTGAACTCACTTTTCTTCCTGCCTCAGACTCCTGGATTATTTGTTTATTTTAGCAGTGCTAGGGATCAAACCTAGGGCCTCTTTGCATGCTGGGCAAGTGCTCTATCTCTGAGCTGTACTCCTTCATTTGATTTTCTTGAGGCAGGCTCTTTAACTCAGAGAGATGGATGAAAGAAGAATCATTAAACTTGGAAAATGATGGACAGGCCTTATCAGACAGAGTATTAGTTAGACCCAGGATGGTTTGGAGTGTCATTCTTTTGATCAGCTCTTAAGTTCTTTTATGGTCTTTTTGAGACAGGATCTCCCTGTAGCCCCAGCTGGCCTGGAACTCACTGTATAGACCAGGAACTCATAGAGATCCACCTGCCTCTGCCTCCTGAGTGCTGGGACTAAAGGCATACACCACCAAGCCCAGCAACTCTTAAGTTCTTTCAAGAAAAGGAGATGAGCCGGGCATGGTGGCGCATGCCTTTAATCCCAGCACTCAGGAGACAGAGGCAGGCGGATCTCTGTGGGTTCGAGGCCAGCCTGGTCTACATAGCGAGTTCCAGGTCAGCTGGGGCTACAGGGAGACCCTGTCTCAAAAAGACCAAAAAAAAAGAAATGGAGATGATGTGGAAAGAAGAGTTATTTCCAAGTCAGTCATCCTGAGTAGCATTCTAAAGGTACCACTTAGCAACTGTGAAGTTTTAGGTAATTTTCTTAGTTTTGCAGAGACTGAGTCTCCTCACCTAAAAAAGGGGTAAAAGGATGTAGTTTTGCATGGCTGTCATAAAAGATAGTGATAATGCATTTATATGATTGGAATAATAGAATTAAAGGTAAACAATCGTATTGTTATGAAGCCTGGTGTGGTTGAGATGGTCAGTAGTGCTGATGAGATGTCTCTTTTTTCCTGTACCTCTCATTGTTTTGTTATAATTGTATCAGAGCATTGCAATTTAATTTTAGTTTGTGCTTTTTCACAATATACAGCTCCATAGCAACAGCCTTCAATTAATGTGAGCTCTGTTATGAGAACTTGAAAGCAGTGTGACACTTGGTTTGTTTTTAAACTGAAGACCAGCGATGAGGAATTGGTTGTACTGGGTGACTACCATTTTTAGCCCCTTAGTGATGAGCCAGTGACTCGGGACCAATGGAGGATGACAGGCTTTGGTGTTTATAGATATTCTTCAGGTTTGGCTTCTACAGTATTAGAACAATTGTTGAATCAGCCTTGGGTAATAGAAATTCATTTCTAATAGTGATACAGTATTCATTGTAGCAGAGTGGGAGACATTTTGGGAAAATTAGACATAAGCCTGTTTTGTGAAGCTGGATGTGTTAAACAACAAATACTGATGGAATGAATAAATTGCTAATTTCCACATGAGAGCTAATTTTAGTTCCTAGGCCTCCCTGTGATCTTAGAAATGAGAATTAAAAAAGATCTTGCCTGTGTCCAGGATTTTGAATGTCCCAGGGTGCTGATGTGACCTAGATATTTAACTTGTAAAGTTGGATGGCTAGACTTTGCCCTACAAAATGGTTTCCAATGCTTGAACCAATGTCTGCTGTGGTTTGTTTTGTTATGTAGCCATGGCTGCCCTGGAACTTGCTATGCAGACCAAGTTGGCCTGGAGCTCACAGAGAGTTCCTCTTGCCTCTCCCGCCCCAGTTCTAGATTAAAAGTGTGTGCCACTACATCCAGCCCCCCCCTTTTTTTTTTTTTTTTTTTTTTTTTTAACTTTTTAAAATTTTTTTATTTTTTATGTGTATGTGTGTATTGCCTGCATGTAGGTAAATGCACCCATGTCTTACAATGCCGACAGGTCAGAAGAGGCTGTCGCATCCCCTGGGACTGGAGTTACGGACAGTTGTTAGCTACCATGTGGGTTGCTGGGATTCGAACCCAGGTCTTCTTCAAGAATAACCAGTGTTCTTAACCGCTGAGCCATCTCTCCAGCCCCACCTGTCTTTTCTTAGAAGCAAAAAATACTCATGATGTTAACAAAGTATTTTTCATAAGTTTCATTTTATTTCCTTTGGTTCATTTGCCTCTGCTTGGTATGTTGTGTTTTTGGTGATAGATTATAGTTTCTCATTAATAAATTGTATGTTGTAGTTTACCTTGAATCTATCTATTTATATTTATTTAATTTTTGTCTTTTTGAGTCAGGGTCTCCCTGGAGCCCCAGCTGACCTGGAACGCACAGAGATCCGCCTGTCTCTGCCTCCCGAGTGCTGGGATTAAAGGCGTGGGCCACCACACATGTCCACTTTATTTTTGAGACAGGGTCTTACTGTGTAGTAATGCCTGGCCTGTAACTAGCTTTGTAGACCAGGATGACCTTGAACTTGCAAAAATCCTACTGTCTCTGCTTCTTGAGTGCTGAGATTGCAGATGTATGCCACCATGCTTGACCACCTTTTTCAGTTTTTATTTTTGTACAGTTGGGGGTCAAACCCAAGGCCTTCAAGAACAGTACGCATACACTCTACTGCTGAGCTATGGTCCTTAACTATATATGTATATACATATACATATATATGTGTGTGTGAGAGAGAAAGAGAAAGATTGATTTTTGAGATAGAGTCTCATGAAGCCAGGCTAGCCTTGTACTTCCTCTGTGACTTGTGTGTTTAATGTGGTCCTGGGGATTGAACCCAGGACCTTGTGCATGCTAGGCAAGCACTCTATGAACTAAACTACATTTTCAGCCCCATATGTTTTTTAGGATCAAAAATTTTTTATATAAGCAACTCTTTGAAGGTCCAAGGAAATACTGTGTTGCCATTTCTCTTATCCCAAATGTCCTGTGAAGCGGTCATGAATGAATGCTCAAGCTGTAGCACTTTGGTGATTGCTTTCAACATTGGAAAAATCTTTGTTTGCTTATCAACAGAATTGGCCTTCTTCATGGAAAGTGAGTGCTTTGGAACCAAAGGCATTTCTCTTTTTTTCTGAGACAGTTTCCCTGTAGCCCCAGCTGGTCTGGAACTTGCTATGTGGCATTAAAGGTTTGTGCCTTTTTTTTTTGAAAAACAGGTTTTTTTTAAAGATACACATTGTAGATTCCTTACTGTGGAAAAATTACAGAAATTTATCCTTACTAGCTACATTTATAATGGTAATATTGCATATATAAAAGGAAAGAGTTGGAAGGTAGTGCCATGTAAGCATGAGGACCTGAGTTCAGTCCCCTACCTAGTACCCATGTCAAAGCTGGGTGCGTGGCACACTCCTGTAATTTAGCCAAATTGGCAAACTCTAGGTTCAGGACATACCCACTTGCCATTAGTTACCTAGAAGGATTTGTTGCCATCTGGCATAGTACTGTTTCAAAATATGGTCTCTACCAGGCTGGTGGTACCCACCTTTAACCTCAGCACACGGTAGACAGAGGCAGGCGGATTGCAGAGATTGAGGCCAGCTGGGACTATAGGGAAACTGTGTCTCAAAAAACATAAACAAAAAATCAAGTGTGATCACTGGACTGGCTGCTCAACCACACACTGTTTGTTACTATCCACAGGTATAAGGACCTGTGTCATCTGATCAAATTTAGTGTCAGAAATGTCAAATGAATTATTTTTGAGTTATTGGTAAAAATTTTTTGTTTACAACCTTTGATTTTCACAGTTGCACTGGAAAATAACATTGAGAAATTATAAGGCAATAATGCTACAATGTATGTACTTAAGATCATACTTTTGAAGTTTTATAAGGCGTATCTGGGTTAAATTTCTTTAATGGAAATTTTCTGAAGTTTACATTTGAGATTTTATGACTTTGAACATAATATGATGGGATATTTTTCTTTTGTGTGTTTATTGATGAAGCTTAGCTGGACAGGCCAGTGTATTAGAATAAGGGATATGAATATATTTGGATGCTTTAGTGTCGGATATGAAATTTTTTCCATGTATAAAAATTAAGTTTTCAGGAACAGGCTGCTGAGAGCTAAAGCAATTTTCTATAAAGATTTTTTTTCGTAAAGACAATAAATTATTGAACAAGCAAAAAAAAAAAATTTTCTGTCATTGAAGGAGATGGAGTTAGCCCATCCTTTTCATAAACTTGATTGATTTCACAGGAGTAAATACAATATTTTGTTATGTCTGGTTTTTTTTTTTTGAGTCATGGTCTCCCTGTGTCTCCAGCTGGCTTAGAAATTACTATGCAGACCAGGCTGGCCTCAAACTCAGAGAGAACCTTCTACCTTTGCCTCCCAAGTGCTGGAATTAAAGATGTGTTCCACTATTTCTGGCTATTAGTGAACCTTTTATGCTATTTTTCTTTTTTCCATTTCTGAGCGAATTTGTGTGTGTGTATGTGTCTTTTTGAGGCAGGGTTTCCCTATAGCCCCAGCTACCTTGGAATTCGCTATGTAGAACAAGCTGACCTCAAACTCAGAGATCCGCCTGCCTCTGCCTCCTAAGTGCTGGGATTAAAGGCGTGCACCACCACACCTGGCTATTTTTAAGTGAATTTTGATATTAGTAGAAAAGAAAAATTAATTTATTTAAAAGAAAAGAAAAAAAAAAAAAAACAGCTATGTACCTGGTATTATGCTAAGTTTTTTTCAGAGACTGTCACAATAGTGCTGTGATGTTGGTACTACTATCCTTATTTTACAGCTGTGTCATAAAGGTGAATAACTTGCCCCAAATCTCATAGCTAAGAAAGGAGACAGTGAGACAGGAATTAGAACAGATATTCTCTTAATCCCTGTGCTCCCTGTGTGGCTATGCAATGTTTGTGGTGGAAAGTTAGACTGCTTTTCATAGACTATGAAGGTGTTAAACATTGCTATGTGTAAGCTCCTGTACTGTATGTTGAATATATCTATTCATGGGTGATGTCTTTAGGAAATTCATGTGGGCTTTGAGTTACTAGTGTAGTAGCTGGTGGCCATGGAGTTAGCACAGCACAGTAAATCTTACTAATCAGTTTGTCTTTTTCTCCACCTCTCAGTCTTAATTTCAAAGACCCTGAAGCAGTCAGAGCCCTGACTTGTACTCTCCTAAGAGAAGATTTTGGACTTTCTATTGATATTCCATTGGAGAGACTAATTCCCACAGTTCCTTTGAGACTCAACTATATTCATTGGGTAGAAGACCTGATTGGTCATCAGGACTCTGGCAAAAGTACTCTTCGAAGAGGAATTGACATAGGTACATGGTTTTAACTTCTTTTGGGGGGCTAAAAGTAAGTTTCAAGTTTTGCAAGGTGAAATTCTTTGTAATCTGTCCTAGTGGGTGTTTGTTGTGTGAAAGAAGCTGGACACCTGTACTAGTGCTTTCATTTGCTGCATATGGGCTTTTCTGTCACTGGTTTCTCTTGAAAAGAGGTGTCATCTCTGGTCAGAACCAGGGGTAACAGCAGTGCAGAGTGAAAGGGGGGCTCTTGTTTACTTAGCCTTCAGATTCCACCTTGCTGTCCAGGTCTACTAGACATTGTCTACTCTCCTTTAGTTGGAGTTGTTATAGTAGTCTTTACACTGATATTTTTAATTGTTTATTACTATTATTTGGTATGTTCATTTTTTTCTTTTTTGAGATAGGGTTTCCCTGTAGCCCCAGCTAACCTGGAACTCCCTATGTAGCCCTGGCTGACCTCAATCTCAGAGATCTGCCTTCTTCTGTCATCCTAGTGCTGGGATTAAAGGTGTGTGCTACCACATCCAACTTTTATTATTATTGTCTTTGTTGTACTTGTGTGTTTTGCCTACATGTAAGTGCACCATATGCATATAGTGCCTGCAGAGGCCAGAAGGCAACGGATCCCCTGGAACTTGAGTTACAGACTCAAGAATGTGTGGGTGCTAGAAGCTGAACTTAGTCCTTTCTGAGAGCAACAAGTGCTCTTAACACTGAGCCATCACCAAGAGCCCGTTTTTAAGAAAAACAAAATGGACAGTTAAGAATTTGAATAGTTTCTCAATCTCCTAGTGATTCGTTACAGCCTTTGAAATTTTATTTCATTTTTTTTGTTTGTTTGTTTGTTTGTTTGCTCTTTTTGAGACAGGGTCTCCCTGTAATCCCAGCTGTCCTGGAACTCACTGTGTAGACCAGGCTGGCCTCGAACTCACAGAGATCCGCCTGCCTCTGCCTCCCGAGTGCTGGGATCCAAAGCGTGCACCACCACACCTGGCTGTTTCATTTATTTTTAAGCAGGATCTCACTATGTAGCTCTGGCTGGCCTGGAACTCCAGATGTAAGCCAGGTTGGCCTCAAACTCCTGGAAATCTGCCTGCCCCTGCCTCTCATGTACCAGGATCAAAGGCACGCGCCACTCCTGGCTATGCGTTGTTTTTCATTTGCTTCCATAACACCATACTCTCCTGGTTTTCCTCATTCATTTCAGGTTCATCATCCTGTGGCTGACCATTTGATATCGATAACACTTATGGCTCGTATCTATGGCTTTTCTTTGCCCACCTATGAGCAAATAAGCCCCGTTTTTATTTATGCCTCCAACTAAAATTGCTTTGCCTCTGGTCTGATTTTATATATATATATATATATATATATAAATATATATAATATGAATATTTCAAAGTTTGTCTAAGACCAGACTCAGTCTTTTCTCCTATTCTTGGTTCCTTTGTTTCTTATGTCAGTGACTGTCTCACTTTTGCTTATTCTCACTGAGAGTGTCCATCACTGTTTCATGATCTTTTTTTTGTTTTGTTTTAAACAAGATCAAATTTCTAGATTCAAACAGTCCTCCTACTTAGCCTCCCAAGTAGCTAGGACTCAAGCTTCCTGGTGATTTTTAAATATTTCCTTTTTTTTTTTACATTTGTGGTACTGGGATTTGAACCTAAGGCCTTGCTAAATAAGCAGGCATCCTACTATGAACTAATCCTTGGTCCCTCTTTTCTTTTTTGAGTTCGTTTTCACTTTGTTGCCCATGCTGGCCTCCAACTCATCTCAAGGGATCTTCCTATCTCATCCTCCTAAGTGGTTGAGACTGTGGAACTATAGGCTGCCCACTATACCTGGCTTTCTTTCTTTAATTGATTTTATTAGTCCTATAGTCCTAGCTGGTCTGGAACTCACTAGGCTGGCCTCAATCTCACAGATTATTTTTTGACTTTGAGACACGGCTTCATGGAGGCTGTCCTATCTTTCACTCCAGGGTGCTGGGCTTACAGGTATACACCACCACACCCAGCTGACTTTCATAAACACCTAAATTCTCTCTCCGTTGTCACTGCCACCATCCAAATCTAAGTCATCATCATCTCTAATGTGTGTATGGAATAGCTTCTTGACTGCTGTGCTCATCTACTCAGTTGCTCCTCTGTTGCATTCTTTAGACTGCATCCAGAAAATATGTATAAGTCTACATCTTACCACATCTTAAGTGACTTCTTACTGGTTTTGTGATTAACACCCAAAATCTTGACTTGGTCTATTAGAATTTCCACTGTCCATCCTTATCCTCTTCTCTAGGTCCTCAAGGCTTATCTTACCCAATTCTTTCTCTTGTTTTATACACTTGTTTTTTAAAAAAGTCTTAGTAAGGTGTCCTGACCTCCCAGTGCCTCACACTTCTCCCATCTTCACCTTGTTTTCCCCATTTGCACTCTGCTATTATTGTCAACTCAAGCCTGCTTTTCTCTTTCTCTGACTTTCCAACTAAACTAAGGAAGCTTACTACCTTGGTTGTAATAAGCCTTTCAAAAAACTTTTTTCCTTCATAGCATTTATTTCTATTTTAAACTGCACATTTATCTAATTATTTGGTTAATGTTTTTCTCTGCCACTAGATTGCAAACTATAATACTTATTAATTTTTGGTTACAATAATATCTCAAGGCCTAGCAAAGTTGCTAAAGGCATTTTTTTTTTCACATCAAAATGGCTGTTTCCAGTCTAAGCATTATTATTTTAACCTTCAAAATTTTGAGTACTTCATATAATCTAAGCACTGTAAAAATGAAGTTTACTTAGAGCTCTTTTTTATTTCATGGCACAAGATGGCTGAAAGCTAAAAGGCTTGACTAGCGAAGTGTGGTGACATATGCTTGTAATTCCAGCATTGAGAAGTAGAGGCAGGAGGATAGTAAGTTCCAGGCCAGTCTGGGTTGCACAGTGAGTTCAAGGTTGAACTGAGCTATGTAGTGAGTCCTAACCAGATGAGGGGGACTAAAAGGCTCAGTAGTCTATTTGGTGCTAATTTGATTTGATTTTAATTATGCCCCGAACCCTCTAAAATAGCATTTGGGGATATAGGAGGTTAATGGGTTTTTGCTCTTCACAAGGGGCAATACTTGCTGAAATCATGTTCTAATTAGGGTTTTATATAAATTCTTCCCCCAGACTCCATCAATTTGCTCTAATTCTATGATTGATATACTTTCCATTTTTATTTATCATTATAAAGATTATTACCTACTTAAAATGTCATTTAGCTTTTTGAGGAGATTGGAATGTTGGCATGCAAGTTACTTGTTCTTGAGAATTGAGGAACTATTTTAAGAGGGTAAGGGTGGATCTTTTACCTACCTTTTTTTTCTTAGAAATGAAATTAAAAAGAGAAATTTTCTTTTTTTCCTATAGAGGTGAAAACATTACTGAAATTTTCTTGTTCTAAATGACTATAGCAAAAATGACTCGCAGGCCTAAACAGTTGTGGACTCTGGAAGAGCCTGAGTATCCTCTTCCCACTTTCTACTTCCCAACTCCCCAAGGAAGTGTTTGCCTGGTGGTATCAACTGTGGCTCTCAAGAGGTTAAGTGTTGCAGCCACTAATCTGGCCTTTCTTTTCCCTGCCACTGAATACCTTGTGAAGAAGCCATATGTGGGCTTTGGGTTAGGAACACCTCTTAAATCTTTGAAGGGAAAGCAACCCTGGACTGGCAGGTTCAGGCTGACTGCTATAGTGGTCAGGAGAAACCCTGACTTCACTTCTTTTAAATATATTCACTCACTAGGATCTAATTGATCAAGATTAGTCAGTGGTTGTAAAAGCAACATTTGGTGATACTAATAGATCAGTCCTGTCTAGTACTAGAGGCTCTGCATACAAATTCAGGACCAAACACCAGCTGTTGAAGGTGGTTTTGGCTTCTGGATATGTCCTTTGAACCTGGGTTGGGGCTACCCAGTGACTCTGACATCCTACAAAAATATGGAAAATTGGACTGTTTTGGTACCATGAAAATCACACACACAAACTCATAGTTCTTCTTTTGGAGATATATGTTGATCTGTGTATTTTGTTTGTTTGCTTGCTTCTCCTTTTCTTTGAGTTGGTCTTATTGTATAGCCTAGGTTAGCTTAAACTCACAAGTCTTTTGCCTCTGCCTCCCAAATGCTGGAATTACAAGTGTGTGTTACTATACCCAGCTTACATTGATTTGTTTTGATATTATTGTGTAGCTGGAGAGATGGTCCTGTGATTAAGAGCACTTTGCTGCTCTTCCAGAAGACCTGAGTTTAGTTCCTAGCACCCGCATCAGGGATCTGGTGCCCTCTTCTGGCCTCTGAGGGAACCTGTATGCATGTGTACAAGCTCACAAATATACACATAAATAAAAATAAAATAAATCTTAAATATTATTACTGTGGGGGCTGGAGAGATGGTTCAGTGGTTAAGAGCACTGAATGCTCTTGCAGAGGACCTAGGTTCGATTCTCAGTACCCACATGGTGGCTAACAACTGTCTGTAACTCCAGTTCCAAGGGAATCTGCTGCCACCTTTGACCTTTGCAGGCATTGCACGGCATGGGTGTACTTAAATACATGCAGGCAATACACTCATACACAGAAAATAAAAAAAATTTTTTTTGGTCCTTTTGAGACAGGGTCTCTCTGTAGCCCCAGCTGGCCTGGAACTCACTGTGTAGACCAGACTGTCATGGAACTCACCGAGATCTGTCTGCCTCTGCTTCTGCCTCCTACATGCTCGGATTAAAGGCTTGTGCCACCACACCTGGCAATAAATAAAATATTTTAAAAGATATATTACTGTGGTGTTTAAACAGATAGTCTTGACTCATTTTAAGGAAATTGAGTTTTGTATGGAATTTAAAGTGAAGACATTTTGTAAACAAATTAATTTTCTAAAGTAAATTAAGTTATTTGACCATTTTAAGCTAATCAGTGCAGTTTTCTTGGGCTTCTAAATATCTACAATTTTTTTTTTTTTTTTTGTCATTTTGAGACAGGGTCTACCTGTAGCCCCAGCTGGCCTGGATTCACTGTGGAGACCAAGCTGGCATTGAACTCACAGAGATCCACCTGCCTCTGCCTCCTGAGTGCTGGGATTAAAGGCATGTGCCACCACACCTGCCTCTACACTTCATTTTATACAAACAACATAGGGAAGAGTAGGTCAATAAGGTTTCTGGCCCCTAGGAAATTTGTCTCTACTTATGAGGTAAGACTCAAATGTATGAAAGGACTAGTGAGCCCAGTAGCTGCAGAATACCCTGGTTTCTGATTTAAGCTGTGAAAACCTAAAAGAATTTGAAGAAGAAAAACAAATGGTGATTTTATTGTTCTCTTTTTTCCCCCTCTCATGTGTGGAATTGTGAATTTTTCTTTTACTAGGTACTGGAGCATCCTGCATCTACCCCTTACTTGGAGCAACTTTGAATGGCTGGTATTTCCTTGCAACGGAAGTGGATGATATTTGTTTCAACTATGCCAAGAAAAATGTGGAACAGAATAACTTATCTGATCTCATAAAAGGTTAGTCCATGGAATAACTATCCCCTCAAGCTTTGCTTATTAAAAACCTCTCTAATTTAACATGTCTTGTTATCTTTTGCTTAAATGTGTAGACTTTGATGGTTTAAAAAAAAACTGGCATATTGACTTTGCTGTTTTGATGCCAGAATTAACTCAGAAGGAATATAGTAAATATAGTTGATCTTAATTATGACTATATTCTGTATTCATGAATTTGCCCTTTTTTGGGGAGGGGGTCTTTTTGAGACAGGGTCTCCCTGTAGTCCCAGCTGGCCTAGAACTCACAGAGATCTGCCTGCCTCTGCCTCCTGAGTGCTGGGGCTAAAGTCTTGTGCCTCCATGTCCAGCCAGAATTTGTCTTCTTAAAGCATTTTATTCAGTTAGTTAATATAAATTTTATTCGCTGAATATTTCTTTAAAACTTGCTATATCTGGGGGCTGGAGAGATGGCTCAGTGGTTAAGAACGCTGATTGTTCTTGCAGAAGACCCAGGTTCAAATCCCAGCACCCATGTGGCAGCTAACAACTGTTTGTAGCTCCAGTTTCAGGAGAGCCAACAGCCTCTTCTGGCCTCTGCAGGCATTGCGCGCAGGTGATGCACTTATACACATGCAAGCAAAATGCTCATACACATACATATTTTTTTAATTTGCTATATGTTCTTAAGTGGTTTTGGCATATATTTTAATACACTTTATTTTATATATTTTATAGAACAGTTCACAGCAAGATGTGTATATTCCTTGCCCCTCATGTATGCTCAACTTCTCCCATTATTGACATCTGTGACCAGATTGAGTATATTAGTTATAGTCGGTGTACTTAGCAACACATCATCATCTCCCAAAGTCTATAATTTGGGGCTGGTGAGATGATTCATTGGGTAATAGTGCTTGCCTTGCAATCCTGACTTAAGTCTGGTCCCTGGAACTCATGGTGGAAATAGCTGTCTCCTGAAAGTTGTCCCCTGACCTTCAAATGTGTGCTACGGCATGCTCATGGCTTACCTGCACTCATATCATGCACCTACACACACACATTAATAAATTTAAAATAAAACAGGTCTGGCAAAATGCCTGAATGGGGAAAAGATGCTTTTCACCAAACAGAACCTACATGGTGGAAGGAGTTTACTGACTGGGGCCTGCAAGTTCTTACCTCCACATGTTCCTTGATACATCTGTGTGTGTGAACACTTGCTCACAGAGATCCTGCCTGCCTCTGCCTTCCAGTTTTGGGATTAAAGACATGTGCCATGACACTTGGCCATTGTATTTGTGGACCTCCTACATGCTAGGCAAGCACTATACCACTTGAGCTGTCTATATTCCCAGGACCTCCTTACCCCTTTTTTTCTGAGTCAAACTCTACTTGTAGCCTAGGCTGGCCTAGAACTCAGCTCTGTTATTATGTGCTGGCTGGAACTTGCAGTGATCATCCTGCATCATCCTGAATACTGGGACTACAGGCATGAGCTACCACACCTAACCCTCCCCAACTTTTTTTTTTAAAGTTTTTATTTTGAGATAGGGTCTTGGTAAGTTGTACAGGTAGGACTTGAACTTGAATCCGCCTTCATTAGACTGTAGAGAAGGTGGGAGTTCCCAGCGTGTGACACCAGGCCTGGCCAAAATTAACATAAAATTCATTCTTAATATGGTATCTTATGGTTTTGAACAAACAAAAATGATATGTGTCTCCCAGTTCACCACTTTAAAAATCCTCTGTAGTCCTTGTATTCATCCCTCAGTCCTCCCCACTCCCTGGCAGCCGCTCAGCTTTTAATGTTTCCATGATTTTTCCATAAGGAAGATCATTTTCTATAAGGTCATATAGTTGGAATAATGTAGTATATAGCCGTTCAGATTAGCTTCTTTCACTTAGTAATATTCCTTTATATTTCCTCTGTGTCTTTTCTTTGTTTATTTTTATGACAATTGCTTATAAGTGTCATAATTAATCCATTCATCTACAGAAGGACACCTTGGTTGCTTCCAAGTTCTGGCAGTTGTAAATAAAGTTGTAGACATCCATGTGCAGGTTTCTGTGTGGGTGCGATGTTTTTTGTTTTTATTTATTTATTTATTTATTTATTTATTATTTTTTGAGACAGGGTCTCCCTGGAGCCCCAGCTGTCCTGGAACTCAGTGTGTAGACCAGGCTGGCCCTGAACTCACAGAGATCACCTGCCTCTGCCTCCTGAGTGCTGGGATTAAAGGTGTGCGCCACCATGCCCAGCCTGTTATTTTTATTTTATGTTATGAGTGTATTGCCTACATGTATGTGAGTGTACCCATGTCATGCAATGCTTTGGAGGTCAGAAGAGGGCTTAGGATTCCCCTGGAACTGGAGTTAAGAATGGTTTGTAGCCGACGTGGGTGCTGGGACTCGAACCCGGGTCCTCCTCAAGAGCCGTCAGTGCTCTTAAACTCTGAGCCATCTCTCTAGCCCTGTGGGTGTGATTTTTTAACTCAAGAGTTCCTTTTGCTTCCATTCTTACAAGCATTTGGCATTGTCAGTGTTTTGGGCTTTGACCATTCTAATAGTTGTATTTATAATTTCCATTTCCCTGATGATATATGTGGAGCATCTTTCTATCTGCTTATTTGCCATCTATATATTGTTTATGGTAGGGTGTCAAGGTCTTTGATCTACTTTTTAGTTTAGGTGGGGTTTTTTGGCATTGAAGCCTAACAGTTCTTTTATATTTTTAAATATATAGTCCTTTATCAGAAATATCTTTTGAAAATATTTTCTTGCAGTATGTGACTTGTCTTTTTTGGGGGGGGGTCTTTTTGAGACAGGGTCTCCCTATAGCCCCATCTGGCCTGAACTCACTATGTAGACCAGGCTGGCCTTGAACTTACAGAGATCTGCCTGCCCTTGCTTCCCAAGTGCTGGGACTAAAGGTCTGTGCCACTATGCCAGGCTAGAGTAAGGTTTTTTGTTTTTTTGTTTTGTTTTGTTTTGTTTTTTCTTCTTCTAGACTAAAACTTTTAATATAGGGCCTAGAGAAATGGCTTGGTGGTTAAGGGCACTGACTGCTCTTGCAGAGGACCCTGGTTCGATTCCTAGCATCCACATGGTGGCTACAAACCGTCCTTAACTCAAGTTCCAGAGGAATCCGAAGCCCTCTTCTGACTTCCTCAGTATTGTACAACACAGGTGCACTCACATACATTCAGGCAATACACTCATAAAATAAAAATAATAAATTAAAAAAAAACTTTTATTATAAAATCCAACCTTTTTTTTTTGTTTGTGGATTATGTCTTAGATATCATGTCTAAAAAGTCACCTACATATGCAAGGTCATCTAGATCTGTGTGTTTTCTTATGTTATCTTCTTTAAGTTTTATTGTTTTTCATCTTGTCTTTAGATTGCTGATCTGTTTTATTTCTGGGTACTTGTACGAGGGGGGCATGCTCCGGATTGAACCCAGGGCCTTACACATGCTAGACAAGCACTTTGCCACTGAGCTATATCTTGAGGTTTTTTTTTTTTTTTTTTTTTTTGAGACAGGGTCTCCCTGTAGCCCCAGCAAGCCTGGAACTAGATATGTAGACCAGGCTGGCTTCCATCTCAGAGATATCTGCCTATCTCTGCCTCCCAAGTACTGGGATTAAAGGTGTGCACCACCACCCCTGGCTTCAATTTGAAGCTAGACAAGGTCTTGCAACCTAGCATGGATAGGCCTCAGACTTGTGATCTTCTTTCCTATTCTTACTGAGCTAACTGGGGTACTTTTACTACCCAGATAGAAATCATGAGGAGACAAGGAAAAACTTCAAGTTGCTGATCTTTGGCAGTTTTTGTTTCTTTCCTAGTTAATGGTAGACTTGTGGGAGCAGCAGCAGGTGCTGCTCTCTATTGTCCTTGGGTATTGGGACCTTTACTCTGTAATCTACACAGTGAGATGCTGTCTCTAAATAAATAAAAATTAAAAGTAAATTAAAAGGTGTGCTGGGCGTGGTGGTGCATGCCTTTAATCCCAGCACTTGGGAAGGTAGAGGCAGGCAGATCTCTGTGAGTTCAAGGCCAGCCTGGTCTACATAGTGAGTTCCAAGACAGCTGGGGCTACAGGGAGACCCTGCCTCAAAAAAATAAAATAAAATAAAAAAGGTTGGGGATTCAGCTCATTGTTACAGCACTAGCCCAGTATATGTGAGGCTCTGTATGTGGTCAGTCTCCAGTACTACAAATAAAAGCATATATAAATATCAAGGTCTTAGCTGAGCATGGTGGTGCTCCTCTTTAATCCCAGCACTCTGGAGGCTGGGGCAGGTGGATCTCTTGTGAGTTCCAGGCCAGCTGGTGCTGCAGGGAGATCCTGTCTCAAAAAGACCAAAAAAAAAAAAAAACCTATTAACAATGGTAATTTTTTTTTGGTTTGGTGTTTTATTTATTTTGTTTTTTGAGACAGGGTGTCCCTGTAGCCCCAGCTACCCTAGAACTTTTATGTAGACCACCACCATGTCCAGCTCTCACCTATTTTTTCAGAGACAAGATCTCTCACTAAGCTTGGAACTTACTGACTGAGCTAGGAGTTCCTGGCTAGCAAGCCCCAGGGATCCTCCTGTCTCTGCCTCCCTAGTGCTGGGATTAAGGGTCGGGGTCCTGCCATGCCCAACTTTTACTTGGGAACTAAGGCTTGATCTCAGATCCTTATGCTTATATGATAAGCACTTTACAGACTGAGCCATCTCCCAAGCCCTGGCCTCTAATTTTTTTGGGGGGGATGGGGAAACCTTTTTTTAATTAAACCTTTTTTTCCCCCTTTTTGAGATAGGGTTTTACTATGTAATCCAAGCTGGCCTTAAATTAAACTCCGCCTTCTCCTTTTGCTTCCCAGGTGCTCAGGTTATAGGCGTGTGCTCCCCTGACCCCAACTCCCTGCTAAATTATACTGTCTTTTAAATTTTAGTTCATGAAACTGTCCCTAAAATAATCAAATCCCCCTTGTGATCAGTTCTTTGTTATTTTATTATCAGTGTATATAAATTGCTATTAAAAAAATTTTAGAGTGAACATAAATTTGTTACAGAAAGTGAGAAAGGACTCTCAAGAGTGGGAAGAGTTCCAAGTGGAGAATGCTGCCTGCTCTAATTCTCTACAGCTCTGTAACAGATTACTTCAAAATCTAGCCATTTTAAGCAATAAACATTTCTGATCTCATAGTTTCTTTGGATTAGTAATTTGGGTAGATCTTAGTTGAAGAGTTCTGATTCAGTTTCTCTCATGAGAACGTACTCTATTGGCTATAGCTGTCATTTGAAGGATTGACCGGTGACAGAGGTTTGCTTCCAAAGGGCTTACTAACATGCAGGTGGAGGAAGCTTTAGTTCATTGCCTGGGTTTCCATGAGCCCATTAGACTGTGCTTACATGCTGGTTGGACTTTCCTAGAGCAAGTGTTTAAGGAAAAGGTAAAGGAAAAAGTCCTATTGCCACTTCTGTCTTTTATTGCCTGCCCTCAAGGGAATATTTAAAAATTCTCTCATAGGGAACAGAATTGAAAAATTTGTGTACCTGCATTCCTCCTTGCTCTTCTCAATTGTATATTGTTTTGTGCATATATTTTAAAGCCATTACATAATTAATGGTAACTAACAGTTCTATTTTTTCTCCTAGTGGTAAAAGTGCCACAGAAGACACTCCTGATGGATGCTCTTAAAGAGGAATCTGAGATAGTCTATGATTTTTGCATGTGCAACCCTCCCTTTTTTGCCAACCAATTAGAAGCCAAGGTAAAATATCTTTGAAGTTATTGAATATTTATCTAATTTTGCCTCACTTGCAGAGATAAGAACAAAAGGCAGTTTTCCTTTGAAATCTATATAATTTAGGATGTTGTTTGGTTTGAATTACTTATGAACCCAGTTCTGATTGACTTAACAACAAAGAAAGTTTGTTGTCTTGTAGCTGAGAAAATCTAGCAGTAGTTTAGGTTTCATGAACAATTTGGTCAAGAATTCACAATATAAAAACTGAGGGTGTTTTTTTTTGTTGTTGTTTCTCAGTTTCTCTTGGCTCTGACATTGTCCTTGGGTTTTTTTATTCTCAGGTTTGTGGATAAGCAATATTTATGGAGTTGGGGAGTGAGGAGAGGGCTCTTTTCTTCCCCAAGCATTGAATTTTGTTTTAATTGAACCAAGGAAGGTCATAGTCACTTCTCAACTAAGCTTGTCAGCTTATGAACAAAAATCACTGTTATTGTTACTATCTGTCATTTGTAGTAAATAGTTGAATGGTGAAAAAAATGTATTTGGTTTTGAATATTGAAAAAAATTTTTTGGATGAGATAATTTCTGGTGCATGTGAGACTGAGGCAAGAGGATTGCCAGTTGAAGGCTAGCTTGGACTTAGAGTGAGTTTAAAGCCTGCCTGAAGCAACTTAGTAAGACCCTATCTCAAAATAAAAATTTAAAAAGCAGGAAAGCTAAGTATAAAGCTCAGTGGCAGAGCACTTCAGTCCTTAGTACCACCACCACCACAATAAAAAAAAAAAAACTAATGTATTTAAAAAGTCAGTTCCACAAAATATTGTTAATTTAACTTAAGATTTCCTTTATCTAGTGAATAGAAATCACTTCTGTTAATAATAGAAAAAGTTAATCAAAGGAAGTGAGGAGTGTTACATGTTAAACTTTTGGAAAGAATTTAATTATTTTTAGGGCCATTCAGATATCCTCAAAGTACCATTTATGTAGCTCATAACAAGATCTAAGTGGATTAAAATTTTTGATGAAGTGGGGAAATTGAGCAGGAATTTATTAGAAATAGTTGCATTCCTGATTATAATATAATGTCAAGCACAATTTAAATAAATTTTAGATTGCATTCTAATTATATGAATAAAAATAACCACATCCTGGAGTACAATTTATTATTAAAGATGTTGAGTTGCCATGTGTACCAAAAATGTATACAAGGGATACAGGGATACTTGGTGGTACAGTACTTGTAGAACATGCACAAGACCCTGGGTTCAGTCCTAGCACTACTACAAAACAAAACATGTTTTGCTGTAGGCTAACCAGGGTTGCATAGTGAGATCGTGTCTCAAAAAAAGTTCTAAATTTTTAAAATAGACTGAATGTTCAAAAGTGAAATTTCTGTAGAACGAGCATCTAGATGTAAAACGAAACAAAGCATTATTAGCAGTGAAACTAAATATCTTACTATTATCTTATTGTATCTTTAAAATTTTTGACATAGGTCTTGCAAAGTTGCCTAGTCTGGCCTTGAATTTATTCTGCAGGCTCTAAACTTGGGGTCTTCTTGCTTCAGCCTCCCAGGTAGCTGGGATTGCAGACCTGTGCCACCAGATCCCCAACCCAAAACAATAACAAAACAACCTATCACTCTTGTACACACATACACATACCACACACCTTGATCAAGAAATTTACAGCATCATAAAAGCTGGTACTTTGAGCTATGTATGTGTGCAGGTATGTATGCTCATCTGTGCAGAATGTGTGCCTATGGAGGTCAGGTTGATGTCATGTCTTTCTCAGTTGCTTTCCACATGGCTTATTTACTTGGCTAGATGGGCAAGGTCCATGGATCCACCTGGCTCCATTTTCCTGCCTTCCCCCCTCAGCATTGGGGTGACATGCACACCACCATGTCTGGCTCATACATGGATGCTGGGGACCCAAACTCGGGCTTGTTCCACAATCTCTATACTGGCTAAGCCATCCCCCTAGCCTTGCTAAATATATATATATATTTTTGGTCTTTTTGAGACAGGGTGTCCCTGTAGCCCCAGCTGTCCTGGAACTCACTAACTCACTATACAGAGATCTGCCTGCCTCGGCCTCCCGAGTGCTGGAATTAAAGATGTGCGCTGCCACACCCAGCACTAAATATATTTTTATAATAGCATTTATTGAAGTGTATTAACATACCATGTAATTTATCCATTTGTAGTATAGGATTTAGTGATTGCTACTATGGTGATAGTTGTATAGAACCATTACCACAATTAATTCCATTTCCATCAGGCTTCCCCCAAGTTTCTTAGCCATTTTAAGTCACTGTTGGCTTCTTCCTAGCATACTGAAGCCTAAGCAACTACCACTGTACTTTGAGTCTCCGTAGATTTTCCCATTTTGGACATTTCACATAAATGGAATCATATATGGCCTTTTGTTGCTGACTTTCATAGAGATTGATATGTAGTGTCACATTCATTTATGTTGTAGCGTGTGTCAGTGTGTCATTTCATTGCCAGGGAATATTCCATTTTATAGCTATAACACATTAATTTGTTCGTCAGTTGATAGAGTTGGGTTGTTTCCACATTGGGGCTCTTATGAACAGTGCTAGAAGCATTCTTGTACAAGTATCAAGTATCTCTTGGGGCATAGACATTTTGTTTAACTTGTGCATATCCAGAAGTGGAACTGCTAAATCCTGTGGTAACTCAATGTTTTATTTGGTTGAGAAGCTACCAAACAGTTTTCCAAAGTGACTATGATACTTTATTGTCCAACCAGCAGCAGTGCATGAGGGTTCAGTTTTCTAACAACTCCATCAGCTGTATCCTTGTCTATACTTCTTCATATCTTTTTTTTTTTTTTTTTTTTTTTTTTTTTTTTTGAGGCAGGGTTTTCCAGCTTGCCTTGAACTCACCAAGACCCACCTGCCTCTGCCACTCTAGTGCTGGGATTAAAGGTCTGCGCCATCACGCCCAGCTCTGTCTGATTTAGTATAGCTATGCTAGTGGGTGTGAAATGGCATCTCAGTGTGTTTTGATTGTATTTCCCTGGTGATTGACTATGCTGAACATCTTTTCATGTACTTATTGGCCATTTATTTATCTTTGCAAAAATGCCTATTCAGATCCCTTCCCCCACCTACCCTCTTCCATTTTTTTGCAGTGTTGAGGATCCAGCTCAGAGTTTTGTGTATGCTAGGAAGCACCACCTCTGAACACATGTAGCCCGGCCCTCCTTGCCCATTCTCGTTTGTTTTGCAGTACTGGGGATTGAACCTAGGGCACTCTGCCACCAAGCTATAGCCTCAGACTCTAACTCATTTTTAAATTGGGTTATTTTTCTTCCTATTAAGTTTTTAGGATTCTTTTTACACCCTAGATACAAGTCCTTTAATTAGATAATGATTTACAAACATTTTCTCCTATCCTCTGGGTTATCTTAGTTTTGATGAAATAACAGTTTATTTTGTGTTGTGCTTATGCTTTTTGATATTGTATGTATGAAACCATTGGCTAATCCAAGTTAATGAAGATTTACTTTTATGTTTTCTTCTAAGAGTTTTATGGTTTTAGCTCTTACAATTAGGTCATTGATGCATTTTGAGTTCATTTTTTCATAGGAAGTAAAGATAGATTAAATATTTAAATATAAAAAACAGAACCATAAAAGTGTTAGAAGAAAACATAAGTAAATATTTATTTAATTTTTGGGTAGATTTCCTGGCCATGGTATCAAGACAGAAAGCATAATCCAGGAAAAGCAACAGATTGAGCTATATAAAAGGTAAAATTTTTTTATATTTAATCCCCAGGGCCTTGCGCATGCTAGGCAAGTGCGTTACCACCGAACTACAACCCCAGCTGGCTATGTGATTTTTTAAATCTTGAAAGTAGGCACAATAATAGCTAGATAACATTCAGAGATTTGGTTCTTAAGGTGTAAAGGTTTATCATCATGGTTTTTGTTGTTATTCAGGGTGTTAACTCTCGGAATCCTCGAAGACCTCCGCCTAGCTCTGTAAATACAGGAGGCATCACAGAGATCATGGCAGAAGGAGGGGAATTAGAATTTGTTAAAAGGATCATCCATGACAGTTTACAACTTAAAAAAAGAATAAGGTAAGTAGGAATATTCATCTCTTATGTTATAATCCTAAAGAAACAGAGCTACTTAGAGGAAAAGTAATCACCAGGGACTGAAAAATAAGCAGATAAAGACTGAAAGACAGAAAGGAGGAAAACACCATATTGCTCCCATTAGTATGGTTCTGTGATGGAACAAAACTGATTCGAATATGGCTTTTGATTAGAAAACAGATGGATTCAAATCTGTCCCATGAACCAGAATAAATTTGTTGCCTAGTCCTTGAAGCAATTTATGTTCTTGGAATCAGTTTCCTAAACAGTGACAGATGTGAGGATATTGAGTTGTCAAGAATTTAATGAAGGGAAACAGAGATCACTAACCAGTTCCAGAGCTGGGGTAAGTCTGTTCTGTTTTAAAAGCTAATTATTTTGGACAACACACCTGTCACTAAGCACTGTAAGGTGCTCAGATAGAGCGACTGTCTCACTTCCCTTTGCACCTGCCACGTGCTGTTGATATGATGAATGTGGTAGTTCAAAGCTAAAAGAACTTTCAACCCTAGGATTTAGTTTTGTGAAATAGAGATTTATTTATTTTGTGGTAAAAGTACAAAATAAAAACTTTAATTTTTTTTTTTTTTTTTTTTTGAGGAAAGTGTGGAGAACGTGCTGGGGTGATTGAACATAAGGCTTCACTCATGGTCGACGGGCATCCAGTACCCCTAAAATAAATCCCAGCCTCATATTCATAAGTTTTCAAATGTATAATTTGGTAGTGTTAAGGACATTCACAGTGTTGTGCATCCAATCTCCAGACCTCTTCACTTTCAAAAGCTGTCACTGTTCCTGTTAAATAGCAACCTGTTATATCCCTTTCCCAGCCCCTGGCTACTACTCTTACACTTTCTGTCTCTGAATTTGACTACTGTGTACCTCATATAAGAGGGATTATATGGTATTTGTCCTTTTCGTGGTTGGCTTAGTTCACTTTAGCATGTTTCCGTGCTTTATCCATGTTACAGCAAGTATTAGAGGAATCCTTGTTTTATTTTATTGTATTTTTTTGTCTTTTTTTAAAAGGTCTCCCTGTAGCCCCAGCTGGCCTGGAATTCACTATGTAGACCAGGCTGGTCTTGATTTCACAGAGATCCACCTGCCTCTGCCTCCCAAGTGCTGGGACTAAAAGCATTTGTTACCATGCCTGGTGATTCCTGCCTTTTAAAAAGCGACTATTCAGCCGGGCGCGGTGGCGGATGCCAGCACTTGGGAGGCAGAGGCAGGCGGATCTCTGAGAGTTCCAGGCCAGCTGCAGCTACGGGGAGACCTTGTCACAAAAAGACCAAAATAAAAAAGAAATAAAAAAGTGACTATTCTTTTTTTTCTTTTCAAGACAAGTTCTTGACATATCTTCTTGACTGGCTTGGTACTTACTATTTAGCCCAGGCTGACCTCAAACTTGTGCTGTTCTTCCTGTCTCTGCCTCCTGAGTGCTGAGATTTTAGATGTGACACAGTATACTCAATTTTAATTTTCTATTTTATGTATAAACATTTTGTTCATTCATCCATCCATTCATGGCTCCTTGTGTTGCTTTTAAAACCTGTTGATTCTTAGGTAAGGCAGTATGAACTTGGGTGTATAAATACCTCTTCAAAATCCTGTTTTCAGTTCTCTTAGCCCTCTAAAATATTTTGTTGTCTTATCCCTGAAAAAAATGCAGAAACTCAGCATATTTTACATTATAAGTCAAATGTGGGGTGATCTCAGGATGACACCCAAGATGCTTCCTTTGTGCCACCTAGGCCATGCTAAGTGAAAACTTGGTAGTATCAGTTACAGTTTTGTTTTGCAGCTGACAGGAACTTGGGAAAGCAAAGTTATCCAACTTCTGGATTTTACAGGTTATAGACTTATAAGGCAGATTTCCCTATTCTATCTCAGTGGTCTGTACTGCAATTGCACTTCTAAAATAGTCAGCCACTATTATACCATATAGCCAGCCTGGATTACATGAGACTGTCACCAAAAAACAAACAAACATGCAACAACAACAAGAAGGTTTATTTTGAGTCATGTCAATTTGGAATTTATGTCAGTTTAAATGATAAATTTTGAGAGCAAGCAGATTTTTTGGCTGCTCTTCAGAGGCATTCTAGTTATCTATCTATTTTATAGGCAGTTAAGTGTTTTACTGCACTCATAGCCATTTATACCTCAAGCCTCTGCTTGTATATTTTTAAATATCACAAATTAAATTTAAAATGTGGTTTAAAGGAATTTCTAACCATTCTCCACTGAAATGAGCCAGAGTTCTTGAAAACTTATTAATTTTTTCATGGGTCAGTCTTTACTATGACAATTGCAAAATGGTAATCTTTCAAATAATTGATTACAGAGCTGGGTCAAAATCAATAGAGACTGCACTATTGTATAATACAAGAAAGAGCACAAAACTGACATGAGATAGACATAGGAGCCAGTTCAGTCCTAACTGGAGACAATGCAAG